TGTGTTTATTTTAGTATAATTATATTATATTGTTAAATTAATTATTTAATTTGTTTATATATTTATTCATTTTATTTTATTTACTTGTTTAAATGTTTGTATTTAAATAGTTTTATTCCATTTAATTAATTAAATAATTAATTAATTTGTTTATTTTAATTTATAAACAATTATTTTGATTTAAAATTATTATTTAATTAAATTTTTATTCAACAGTGTTTTTTTATTTGAATATAATTATGTTTAATCAATTTATTTGTTTGTTTATTTATTTATTCATTCTTTTATTTTATTTATTATTTATGTTTTTATTTTTATTTTATTTTATTCTTTTTAAATCAAGTCATTCATTTTAATTTATATAATAAAATGTATTTAAAATTCTTATTTTATTTTAATATTACTTTAATTTACTTTATTTTACTTTTTTATGTTTTTATTTTGCAAAAAAATGTTGTTTAATCAACTAATTAATGTATTCAATTTAAATTATAAAAAAGGAAATTTGATTTAAAATTCTTATTTTATTTTATTTTTATTACAAAAATGTTTTTATCTTAATATAAATATATTTAATTAATTGATACATTTGTTTATTTATATATTCATTCAATCATTCATTCATTTTCTATTTGGCTTATTCCCTTTATTAATCAGGGGTTGCCACAACGGAATGAACCGGCAACTTATCCAGCACATGTTTCATACAGAGGATGCTCTTCCAGCCGCAACCCATAGCTGGGAAACCCATACATACTCATTCACACACATACACTACGCACAATTTAGCCTACCCAATTCCCCTATAGCGCATGTGTTTGGACTGTGGGTGAAACCGGAGCACCTGGAGGAAACCCACGCGAACGTGGGGAGAACATGCAAACTCCACACAAAAACGCCAACTGACCCAGCCGAGGCTCGAACCAGCGACCTTCTTGCTCTGAGGCGACACCGCTACCCACTGCACCACTGCATTCATTATTTAATTGTATTTTCAGTCTAAATCCTCACTCGAAAACCTCCAGAACAGGCTTATTAGTGCACTGCAGAGTCATTCAGATAAAAAATGGCTGCTGTTCATCTTGTGAAAAAGTAAGTTTAAGCACTCCACTCGAAACGAGAACGTGTGCTCGCATCTTGAAAAGTTGACACCGAAGACATTTTTATGGTATGTTTACTTCTCTTCTGGCCACACACGCACTCACAATAATAAACGTGTTGAGATGATGTGGCCTGGAAAGCCAAAAACTCAGCGCTCAGTTGATTAAACACTGGAATTTTGTGCACTGCCCAGAAATGAGGTTAGCAAATGGGTTTTTTTGTCGTTGCCAGTTTGGAAATTACACAAAGGAAAAGCAGGAGAACACACTGTCTGCAGCGCGCTGGCTTCTCCACACATTTGATGAATTTCGGGGTACGTCACTATCCCATAAATGAGTTGCTGTTGACTCCAAATATGGCTGGACTGCAGCTGAAATCTAAAGCCTTGTTCGGGCCTCATTCATGGGTCGATCCCATTTCTGGATTTTGCCATAGAAACTTGGAGGGAGAACGTGAAGGAGAAATGAGCAGACAGGAAGAACTTTAATAACACGTCATTTATTTGAATTTATTTATTTGAATTATTTTAAAGGGCTGAAATTGAACAAAATATGACTCCAATAATTTAGAACTATTGCCTTGACTATTTTATTTTATTTTATTTTATTTTATTTTATTGTTTAATTTAGTTAATTTTTTTAACAAATAAGTTGACATTTAACAACACATAACTAATAATAAGAAATATTGCATTGAATATTTTTTATTCAATTTTATTTTATTTTACAGTTATTTATTTATTTATTTATTTATTTATTTATTTATTTATTTATTTATTTATTTATTTATTTATTTTGTTTTGACCTTTTTGTAAAATAATAATAATAATGAGAAATAGTGCCTTCATTTTATCTTATTTTTCCTGCAACTGCAACATCATTGCAATAATATTAAATAACATTTTTACAATTTATTTAAATAATATTATATTATTTAAACAATAACTATAATAGTTACAACTATAAAATATTTCTTTTTTATTTTATTTACTTTTTTATCATTTTACTTAATTTTTTTCATGCTTCATTGCACTACATATTTTTTATTTTATTTATTTTTATTATTATTTTATTTTCAACTTCATGTAAAATAATACTAATGAGAAATAATACCTTTATTTTATTTTTCATGCTTCACTATTTATTTTTATTTAAATTTTATTCATAATTTTTTATATAATTATTTTTTAAATTTATTTAGTATACTGTTAAATTATATTTTTGTTATTTATTTAAATAATACATTATTTTAATAATAAATAAAATAATAAATGTAGTAAATGCAGTTTTATTCTATTTATTTTTATTTATTTTATTTAATATTATATTGTATTATTTATTATTTTATAAAATTTTTCATCCTTCACTTCATTACAAAACTTTTATTTTATTTTTTATTAAATTTAATTTAATTATTTAATTATTTTATTTATTTTTTTATTTATTTTTTTAATAAAGAAATGGTCAGACGGGGTGAAGTTTAACAACACGCGACTGCTCTCTCTCCTTTTCCTGCTGTACTTCAAGATTTATTGCTCAAGCTTCACTGCACAGCACTGGCTTACTGGTTGGGTTTTATTGCTGTTATGATGCAATGTTCTCTGAAATGTTTACTACATCAGCACTGTAGCCGTTTTAATGAAATGTGCTTCGCCTGCATATTTGCAGGATTTGTATCAAGTAGTAAGTGATCCTTTTCATGAAATTTAAGGCCCGAAGTTTGCAAATGCTTGGCTTGAGTGCTTACTGTTATCATTCTTGATTTGGAAATCTGCTTTTTATCCTTCGTTGAACAAGAGGAACGATCGAGGATTCAGCAAGATCTGTGTTTATTCAATATTGAAAAGATATTTTCTTCTGGATCCAAATGAGTTGTCTTTTCTGTAGTTTGTAGGTAAACGGGTGTTTAATATTGACAGCGTACATTAAATTGTACCTATAGCAGTATGCTATACTGAAGTGTTTTGCAAAGTGAGGCTTCATGAAACACTGAAACAGTTAAATCACCTTAGCCATGTGACCTTTGAGTTTAGAATCATCTTAGCCACGTGATCTGGGTGTTTCAAATCACGGTAGTCACGTGACCTGGGAGTTTAAAATCCCCTTAGTCACGTGACCTGGATGTTTCGAATCACCTTAGTCACATGACCTGAGTGTTTTGAATCCCCTTAGTCACGTGACCTGGATGTTTCGAACCACCTTAGCCACATGACCTGGGTGTTTCGAATCACCTTCGTCACTTGACCTGGGAGTTTCGAATCCCCTTAGTCACGTGACCTGGAAGTTTGGAATCCCCATAGTCACGTGACCTGGGTGTTTCAAATCACCTTAGTCACGTGACCTGGGTGTTTCGAATCACCTTAGTCACATGACCTGGGTGTTTTAAATCACCTTATCCACGTGACCAGGGTGTTTCAAATCACCTTAGTCATGTGACCTGGGTGTTTCAAGTCATCTTAGTCACATAACCTGAGTGTTTCGAATCACCTTAGCCACGTGACCTGGGAATTTCGAATCACCTTAGTAACGTTACCTGGGTGTTTCGAATCACCTTCGCCACGTGACCTGGGTGTTTCGAATCACCTTAGTAACGTTACCTGGGTGTTTCGAATCACCTTCGCCATGTGATGTGGGTGTTTCGAATCACCTTAGTCACATGACCTGGGTGTTTCAAATCACCTTCGCCACGTTACCTGGGAGTTTCTAATCACCGTAATAGCGTTGCCTGGGTGTTTCGAATCACCTTCGCTACGTGACCTGTGTGTTTGAAATAACCTTCGTCATGTGACCTTTGGGTGGTTCCGATCATGCTTCGGTGGCCTTTTGAAAAGCTGCTTTGAAACAATACTTATTGTGAAGAAACGCTAACCCCCATTTTAAAAACATTTTTTAAAAATATTTATAAATTTATTAATATTTAATGACTCTATTTGAATACAATATATATTTTTGCATCTCTCAGGACCCCCAGATGTGGAGCAAGCGTGCGAGCCAAGCGTCCACACTTGGAGTCCTCATAACGGGATGGATCTGGGTTTGGTTCCTCCTCCGTGCCCTCTGCAAGGCTGCATGCTTCAGCTGGAGTTTGCATATGCGGTGGTCCCCGATTCCCTGACAGTTTGGGTCACTTTCTCCTCCCAAGACGAAACGGTTCTTCCAGCAATCCACAATATCATCCTGTTGACCGTCGGCGGAAACAACCTGTCTCTGGGTCCCGCAATTTATTCTGCGACACCCCGTTAACCATTAAACTGGATGTGCAGGAGAAGGTGTACGGCGTGCAGTTTTACACCATGGAGCAACATTTGGAAATCGACGCTACTTTGTTGACGTCCAAACCCGATGTCCGCTCTGTGGAGATTGTGAGCCATTGCATTTTCGGCTTCTTCGACAGCCACCATTCAGCAACAGTAAACAGGGCATCATGCTGAGCGACTCCACTAGAAGATACACAGACAGGTCAGTCTTTAAGATTCATATATGCGTAAAGAAATTGCTCTCCATGTCATAATGAATGCATAAAGGGGGTAAGGGGGTACATGTAGGAATATTAATCACTACAACAAAAACTAATATATTCATGACAATTCTATATATATATATATATATAGATATAGATATATACCCTGCTGAAAAATCCAGCTTAAACCAGCCTAGGCTGGTTGGCTGGTTTTAGCTGGTTGACCAGCCTGGTTTTAGAGGGGTTTTGGCCACTTCCAGGCTGGTTTCCAGCCATTTCCAGCCTGGTCTTAGCTGGTCAGGCTGGAAAATGACCCAGCCAAATCCAGCTAAAACCAGCTTGACTAGCCTGATTTAAGCTGGACATTGCTGGTTTTGGCTGGACTCCCAGCTTGGCTAGGCTGGTCAAGCTGGTTTTAGCTGGTCATCTCATTTTGGAGTGAAAGTGATCGGCCGTCCATTGGATCTCATTACTGTCACGATGGCAAGCAGCTGCTTTGTTTTTTATTTATTTATTTAAAAGCGCATTAAAGCTGAGATAAAACCTGAAAGACGACAATACAACACTTACTATCACAATCATCAGCACTTTTAATAGTTTATTTTACAGACTTATAATATGCTGTTTTTCTAATGGAGTTTTCATTCCAAAATGGCCGCTACGCCCTTTAGTGGCTGTTTTCCAAATTACACTAGAGTGTCGCCTCTTCGTCATTCTAAGTTCTTTGGTTCAATTATGACTTAATCAGATTAAATGAATCAAAAATCGTGGTTTACATGGTCGATTCTTAATCAGAGTATCGTCTTAATCATATTAAAATCGGATTATTGGTGCTCATGTAAACATACTCAGTATTTTAAGATTTTGACCGTTTCTTAAACAAAAAAAGGAGGTATTTTCTGTCGTGTTGTGTTCTTGCTGAATTATTTACTCTTAATATGTGTATTTAGGCCCTGGCTAGTATTCGCACACTCTTGCTTGCCAAAAAAAAAACTGTATTGACTTTGGATCTTGCCTTCGATTTGGACATGTTATTTACCACAGAACAAAACTAACGTAATTCAGAGTTGCAGTGTGAAATGTGCCTGGTCAGCATTAGGCACACACAGCAAATCCCTGCTCAGATCTTGTGGCGTCTTTTCTGTTCTCTTTCAATCCTCCGAACGAAGCCAAAAGAAACACAGAGAAGGATGCAGCTGCTGCTTGGTTTTATTCCAGAGCCTGGCATCAGAAACGCCACTTAACATGCTCTGCCATCTTGAGGTTGATGGTTTGGACGGTATTACATCAGCTCTACCCCTACTTGAGGCCAGGGTCTGGGTCTCTGGTCAGCATTTCTCTATTGGCCACTTCGGGATGCATGTGAAATTATGGGTTTAACCGGCCACCCACTGATGAAGCAGCTCAACATCCCAAAGCAAAGTGTTTCCAATAGTTGTGTGAAATTGGAGCTCAGATTTATTTATCATCAACCACCAGCATTGGTCAGCTCTGCGCAGGCAATTAACACAACGTTTTGTATGTGTATATATCAACAAGTTGCTGAATGATTTTATTATCATTATTATTTGTATAAGAAGAGATTATAATTACTACTGCAGTAATTATATACACTATAATTATTACATATGGATATAGTCAACCACTTGTTGCCTTGTTGACTTGTCTCCAATCTTAGAGAGGTAGGTAGGTAGATAGATAGATGGATGGATGGATGGATGGATGGATAGATAGATAGATAGATAGATAGATAGATAGATAGATAGATAGATGGATAGAACGATAGATAGATAGACAGACAGACAGACAGACAGACAGATAGATAGATAGATAGATAGATAGATAGATAGATAGATAGATAGATAGATAGATAGATAGATAGATAGATAGATAGATAGATAGATAGATAGATAGATAGACGGACGGACGGACGGACGGACGGACGGACGGACGGACGGACGGACGGACGGACGGACGGACGGACAGACGAACGGACGGATGGATGGACAGATGGATAGATAGATAGATAGACAGACAGACAGACAGACAGACAGACAGACAGACAGACAGACAGACAGACAGACAGACAGACAGACGGACGGACGGACGGATGGATGGATGGACAGATGGATAGATAGATAGATAGATAGATAGATAGACAGACAGACAGACAGACAGACGGACAGACGGACGGACGGACGGACGGATGGATGGACAGATGGATAGATAGATAGATAGATAGATAGACAGACAGACAGACAGACAGACAGACAGACAGACAGACAGACGGACGGACGGACGGACGGACGGACGGATGGATGGACAGATGGATAGATAGATAGATAGATGATAGATAGATAGATAGATAGATGGACAGATGGATAGATAGATAGATAGATAGATAGATAGATAGATAGATAGATAGATAGATAGATAGATAGATAGATAGATAGATAGATAGATAGATAGATCTGGGCTCCAATTTCACACAACTATTGGAAACACTTTGCTTTGGGATGTTGAGCTGCTTCATCAGTGGGTGGCCGGTTACAAACTACACAGCATTTTATTTTGCAGATTAAATTCAGGCATAGAGTTATGCATTGTATAATAAAAATAAAAAAAAACGATGAAAAGCGTTCAGTAATTCCTCTGTTAAAGAGCATTTAGAACTTTTTACTTGTTTTTAAGCACATTAAACTTCTCTAAATTGATTGTTTAGTTTTGAATACTTTTTAAGACACCCTGACATATTGCGTAAATCCAAAAGCCAAAGTTCTATGTTGGAATTAATGAGCTTGTGTCAAAAAAAGAGAGCCAAATTAGGCCATGGTGTCCGGACATATTTACCAAAGATCAATATCTTTCTTGGATCAGAGCTGAGGTAACGAACGCATGCAGCATGGGACCTTCAGAATAAGTGATTGTAATTGATTCGGATGTCAGAGTCCGCGTCACTCTGGAAATCCAGCTGTGAGCTGACCACAGTTTACTTCAGCCAAGAACGTTACCTACCTCAGATCAGATCAAACACAATCTGGTGTGTTCAGCTACAGGATAAGAGGAGAAAGCGGTTAAAAACTCCATTAACTTTGCAAGGTTGTGTGCAAAAGTGCCAATGAGATGCTTCTGCGCACCCACATCTATACTTTAAAAAGCGATTAGTAAAGTGAGACTGATAACGGCCGCCAGAAGAAAGAACAATGTCAAATTTACTGTCCCGCATCGATAGACGCTGCAAACCTCGCAAAGATGATGTAATGCATGCATAAATACATTTAAAAAATCTAAATATTAAAAACTTTCAAGAGTTTGAGATGCTGATGAGCATTAAACATGTCATAACAGCCTTATGAAAAAGGGTCTCCATCTTAAGGTCTTTGCAGAAATATGAGAGGAGGGTTTTGAAGCTCTGGAACAGGGGAGTAAATCACGAAAGGGGGGTTGACCCTGCATGCATATGACTCTGGCCTTCAGAAAACCCCCAGCCATCTGCTATTCCTCTCCCTGACCTGGCCCTCTTTGCTGTCATGGCTTCAAAGGCACCCCTGCTTTGAGCTGACAGGACCCCCCTTGCCAATGAGCGTGAGGCCAAGACAACTGGCCAGCTCATCCGCTTTAGGGGCCCCGGACTCCTCCTTGGTCTGAGACTCTCAAGTCTGTCATGTCAAGTCCACTGCTTCAGTCTTTCCGGAAGCTCCAGCCGGCTCCCGGCTAACGATGCGATGCTTACAGAGGGGTGATGATGCAATCATTGATGGAGTTGCATGATATTGGAACAAAATTGCAGTGCAATATTTTATTTTGGTGCAATGCATGTTGTGATTTTGAGTTTAATTTTACCAGATGACTACTTTTTTTATTATTTTAGATTTATTGGGCTCATTTTAGGGCATTGAATATATAATAAAGCATGCATTGATGAATACAGTAAAGCAAAGATACAAATCAATAATAAACAGTGCATTAGGAGTTTTATAGCAGCTTTTCTACCCGCGGGATCTTAAATTTGATCATCTAAAATTAAGGCAATCCAAGCTCATCCTGAAAACGTAGTCCTGTGGACGTTCCTGGAGATCGTGATTTATGTAGCCAGAGGAACGTATGGCTACATTACATTTTTTTAAGCGAACGCTATGGGGCGGTGTGACGTCGTTCCTCTTCGCGCTCGCCGGCTGACTGCTCACCTCCATGAGGAGGGCTTTCCCACCGCAATCAGTTTGTCCAGTTAGCTCGTTGTGTTCGGTGGGCGGAGTGGAGACGCGGAGAGGAGTTACAGTTTTATGTCTTAACAATAAAAAAAATTAAAAAAAAGAATTACTCAGGTGAGGATCAAACACAGATCGACTACATCATAACTAGGCCCACATGGAATCTGCGCATGCAGAATTCCGCAGATTTTCCTCAGATTTTTCGCAGATTTTTCGCAGATTTTTTGCAGAATTAAGCATATTTTTAGCGCATTATTAATTCTATTTATTTACTTGTGTAAATGTGCAAATATTAATTTAATAAGTTTGTATTCAGTAATTTATTACTTTTTATTTAATACATTAAGGTTTTAGTTATGATACTCCGCTGGATACTCCCAATATAATTCCACAGAAATCCGCAGATTTTTACCAAAATTCTCCGTAGAAATAGCAAAAAACGTCCGCAGATTCCGTCTGGCCCTGGACATAACGCAACTTGCTGACCACTGGACCACAATGGCGCTGTTTTAGTTATGTGGCCGGAATGATAGTTATATCATCATTACCCTGCAGGCTGCATTTTGCTGATGGGGCTGCGAGACAATAAATAAGAAGAGCGGAGCTGCGGCAAAATAATGAATAAAAAGAGTGAGGCTATGGTCAAATAAATAAATAAATGAAAAAAGTGAGTGCAAGCAGGTAGAAACACCGGCCCAAAATCAACAGAACACGGCTTCACATGTAAAAATGAGACTGAAAATATATCTTTAATACATTCTTAACTGAAAAGTGTGGACTCCAAAATA